CACCCTTATCACTAACTGATAGCCTAATAGTTTTTGATTTTATTAGCTCTCAAACCTGTCGCATACCAGATTTTTGCGTAGCTGTAAGGTTCGAACTAAAGCTTTTCGCGCGGTAGTGGTTAAGAACTTTAAAAGTTTCGCTCGAAAAAATACGAAATTTTATATCGACTGCGTCGTTTGAGTCTTGCTGTCTAAAGAATAACCGAGGAAATGGAGGTGGTGGTAGTGCCCCTGCTGCTCGTTGTTCCTTTCTATTTTGTGTCTCAATTCTAGCGTTCCTTCGGAGTCGATCTTGGAGCTCGTGCAAGCTGTACGCTATCCTGCGCAAGGTTTCTTTAGAAATGGGTTGCGCTGGTAAGAAACTTGGACCCAATTCTAATAGCGAACGCGCGTCATCAGGCAGAGTTATGCCTCCTAACACGGTGACCCTTGACATTTCAGGCACGTTATCGACCACATTTTTAGTGCTAGCGCTTCCGTAAACGATTTTGCTTTGTTTAATTGAAGCTGGTTTTTGCGAATGACCTAGTAAATTTTGAAACTTTCTGCTTAAGGTTACTTTAGCATTCGACCTAATAGAATCACAAATCAAAATTGACCCACCCACTATTCTCTTCCAAAGGGATTTCTCCAAATACTGAACACAATAAGATTTCTTCGACTTACACTTCTTCAATTGCGCGTGCATGGTGTTCTGCTTGCATCGAAGAGAGGCGCGTAGTAGTCGCGTTTCGATGTCCAGTACTAGTTGGCTGTCCCTTGGTAGGCCGCATACAACGTGTAGTCGTTTTCGTTTGATATAATTCTGCACGACTCGGTGTTTCAGGCAGCGGCGGAGGAAGAGTATCGTTTGTCTAGCTTAGACAATTTTTTGTCTTAGTGACAGGACTTCTTTTACAAGTCGGAAATATTCTGCTGGCACTTCACGTAGCAATTCCCAACACCGACTTTCTGCTAACCTCGGCATTAATTGATAATTCAATGTTTTCTTCAATAAGCAGACACGAGGTTGTTATTATAGGATTTATTAGGATACAATAGCTGACGTTTCGGCGGTTTCGCCTTCTTCAGGGCCTGGAAAGGTCAAATTGAGATGTGATCTACTCAGCCAAACACTTTCATAACCCTAGCAGATAAAACTTAACAAATAAATTGATACATAAATACAAATACAAATTTATTTGTTAAGTCTTATTTGCTGAGGTTATGAAAGTGTTTGGCTGAGTAGATGACATCTCGATTTGACCTTTCCAGGCTCTGAAGAAGGCGAAGCCGCCGAAACGTCAGCTATTGTATCCTAATAAATCCTATAATAACAACCTCGTGTCTGCTTATTGAAGAAAACATTGAATGAGCACTCAGTTGTTCACCAACAATAAGAGGACAAACCTCTTGCATAAAAATCAAGTCGTCAATGTTTTACTATGAGTTTTATTCCCACACATAAAGTAATTTGTGCAAGAAATTTCGAAAAAATGCGGTGCATAGACAAATTACAGGTATTTTAAAATAGGGGGTTACTTTTCCATCAATTTGCTCGTAATATTTTTCGGCACTAAGGTAATCTAACTGAAAAACTAACTACTATTGCCCAATGCAGAAGTGGATTCGGATCGTAAATTTCAAATCACAATTGTTATAATCGTTCACAAATTTACTAAAAATTATAGGCATCATAGAATTTACATACTCTTCTCATCAAGTTTTAAGTCCAATAGTTTAACATAAAATTTTAAAGGCCTAGAATCTACAAAACCTTAGAAAATAATTCAGGTTTGGCAGTGAATTGATCGTTAAGCTATTTCCTAGGAAATCGTTAAGTGAAATAAGTATATGCATTCGTTTTTACATAGCTTAAAGCCAGAATTCGTCAAAAATCTTCAGCTTGTTATGCAAAGTGAGGTGGAGTGCTGTCATGTAAAAGATTTAGACCTCTTCTGTTAACTAAGGTGTGGAAAATGCCCTTTAGTTTTGCCGCAATGAGCATCAATTTCGTGGACAAAAGCAACGAGAAACTTCCATATTCCCCATAAGTTAGAAGCCAAAAGCTCTAAACCTCTCGGTGTTGATCAATCTCTGAGGGATGCGCCACGCATTCGACTTCATTAAGCATCGTTTGGAGGTCATTGAATGCATATCTGGCCTTTACAATGACTCGTGGTGGCCTACCGATGTATAGAGCCAGTGGTGCTATCCACCCAGGCAAGCCCGGTAGCGATTTCCCGACCGCGGAGGGATGGAAGGCCTGGTGAGCCATAGGCGTGGAGATCGATTCCACGTGTAAGCTGCAGGGCGCCTCCGACCACTGAGCCACACGTGTCCTTTCCCATAAGTTGAGTGAACAAATTTTCAAAATAAGGCACAGTTTTTAGTATACGCTAGTAGAAGGCTTAAAGAAGACTTAACAACGTTTTTAAAGAAAAACTGTGAGCAAGGTACTGATTGCCGAAAACACCATAAAAATCGAGGCACTTTGAAGAAAATTGCATGTAAACTCCACTGGAATCCTTTACAATCTTGTTGAACAAACAAGAGATGTTAATTTACTATTTACCGCGATGAAGCAGATGTTTCATCGGATTTTGCCTTCCTCAGAGCCTGGAAAGGTCAAGTTGACTGCAACCTACCTAGCCGAACGCTTTCATAACCTCAGAAGACAAAACTTGGCAGAAAAATTTTCATTCGCACAACAAACATCTTCTTTTAAGCACTCACTGTTTTGTTACCTGTAAGTGTTCCAGTTGTTTGGTGAAGACCAACCGCACAGACTGTTGCATGGGCTCGGAATGTGCTTGGCTGAGCTCAGAGACTTAGCCTGAAGTATAGCGCTAGGTCGCTCGTGGTCACAAATTACTCCACCTTGCAGTTCATTTTTATGATTTTAGAATTTAGCTAAATCGCTTCAAGAGTTTCACGCGCTGATGTTTTGGATACTTGTACAAGGATGGTGACATTTACTACAAAATCTTCTCCATTAAAATAGATGTGTTAAGTTAGGTCTGCTGAGAATATGAAAGTGTTTGTCTAGGTCGATTGCGATTAACTTGACTTTTCCAGGCTCTGAGGAAGGCGAATTCAGGCGAAACATCAGCTGCATCGCAATAAAGAGTAAAATAGCGCTTCGTATTTGCTCAACAAATATATAAAGAATTATTTGATCAACGCTGAGGTTAGTAGAGATGGGAATGGCCGCTTTAGAAGTCACTTCCGCTGAAATCATTTATTTTGGCACCTAGACTCCTTTTCTTACATCTTTTGTTAGCAATCGATAAAATATCCAACACAAATATTTAGCTGGGAAAAGCAATCTGCATCTAGAAATATACGAAAATCATGATTGTGTGAAATGTGTGGCTCCTAGAAATACCGAGACAGACACAACCTAAGCCGAAAAAACATTACCGAATCATCAGCTGAAATCAGTGTGCTTAAATGTGGAAAAGTACTAACACATACTAAACAGTAGTATCCAAACTATTTCGTCTCTTCTCGGAAAGCCAACAGGATAGCGAAGTGGTTAGTGATTAAGACAATCAGAATGCAAGGTGGTGATTCGACCGCCTCTTAAACACCCTTCTATAATTCACGGGAGCCCCTCAGCTCAGCTACCTCCATGATTGCAAAGAGAATAGCTTCGACCAATATTCTACGGCGTTCATAAAGAAGGCGAAATCCTCAAGCAGCATTGAAACAATACACAAACATTCAAAGACCTTTTTGGCAGGTGAATGCGAGGAGACCGAATCGAATGCAAGAAGTGCTTGGGTCAGCACAGTAGATGTGACGGGTCATGTAATGTAATAAGAGAGATGGCCTTATCCTTTCTTCACAGGCAACATTTTCTCGTGGTAGACAAGTGAACTCGTCCGAGTAGTTTTCCTAGGTTATTAAATAAAGGAGATTTATTTTTTCAGAGAGGATCCGTTATAATATCCATTCTGGGTAAACCAAAAATTTATTACAAAGAATTTAGTAGAAAATTCTCTACGCCAATGAAGCCAACAGGAGGGAAACGGGTGGGAAGTGACTCATGCCACCTGCAATGCTCCTTGCGTGTGACTCGCTACCAGGTCACGCTTTTGCATATATACTATGAAATTTTTTCAAACAAAAAATTTCAACACCGTCAAATGACAACCGCTTTTGCACTAGGCTACACTGGTTAATTAATTAAGGCGAATTACATTTTATGAAACAACGGAGGATATATAATCTTAACTCTTTTATTTACTGCCCTTTTCTTCTTAATGACAGGGTATGTTGCGAAATATAACTCGTATGAAATGCTGAGATATTTGCAAAACTCCGGACCACAGGTGTATGCAGTGGAGAACGAACACGCGCTGCTGTCCTTACCGGGGAGCAGCGCACTTCACCACCACTTAACTGAGTTCAATGCCGATATTGGCTCCCCAGATCAATCCCGTTGACGGGTGATTGCTGATGGCAAAAAGATCGATAGAACTAGATGAGAGACATGCAAAGCGAAGGACCCGGATGGTGTAGTGGTGAAGTGCGCTGCTCCCCAGTAAGGACAACAGCCCGTGTTCGTTCCCACTGCATACACCTGTGGTCCGGACTTTTGCAAATATCTCAGCATTTCATACGAAGGATATATACTTATTGCACGTTCCTGTTAATTATTTAGGCAACCTAGATTTCATCGAGCTGTCATGAAGAGTAAGCCAAAACCAAAATCCACCACCGTTCTGGTATCAAAGTAGTATGTTGGCAAATCTACCTCTAATCCACAAGGGCTGCGACTGCCAGTGGTGGTGGAGACCTGGGGCAGACTTTGGCTAGGCTCACCTCGGGATTCCAGTGAACCCAATGCCTTAACCGGCAAATCTACGAAAGGTGGAGATAATGCTGGAGCCCGCACAACCAGTGATGACGGGCCATTCAAGTATCAAATCAGTACAAAATCATGAAAGCCAAAGAGCAGAAAAAATTTTCAGCTTCCTTTCTCATAAATGCACAAGGTGGCGACCTATATGTAATCAGAAGAATGAACATTTAGTGAGCAGCCAATGATGCGAAAATCGTACCTGCTCCTTCTCGAACTGCCAGCTCTCGAAATCGCGTAGAGTAACTTGCACGAAAGATGTTACGTAATGTTGCTCTTCGGTTCGTTGATATTTCTGTAGCAAATCCAGCGCGAGATCTTTCAGCTCAGCGAGATTCAGTGCCTCACATTCACCCACCAATCTAACGGTTTTTATTAGAGTTTACAAAGTTTCTGGTATTTTTTTGGGCGAATTTATTTTCTTCTTATTATTGAATTAGTGATTCAGTTTGTCTTCAACGACATCGCTCAAGATGTCAACAATAAAAGGTAATGCTATTTTCCCCTTACGGTTTAAAAGGCTCACGATATTACTCAGCAAGCCTTACATGAAGACTGGTGAAAATGTTTAAAGAAAAGAAGGCGAAAAAGATAATGAAGTTTTAGAAACTGGGACGAATGTGAAACACAGATGGACACAGACACAGAAACGCGATGGACACAGAGTGTCACTGTAATGACAACTCCGTACATGAAAATCGCCCATAGCACAGCGGAGTTTCGGTTTAGTTTTAAAATGCACACCTCATGAATTAAACCATATTTCGGAACGCGACATTCAAAAATAATCGATAAACTTATTTTAAAGTACAATCAAAGTATTACTTAGCTAAGTCATCTGGTTTACTTGGCAGGGCCAGAGAAGGCACAAATTTTTCCTTCTTCAAGCGCAAATAGGAGAGTATGTGACGAAATGTTTTAGCATCACGATCCAAGTAATAATTTCCACCCTAAATAGATAAAAGATGAAAACCAGTTCAAGTTGTCTCCCAACAAAAATTAGAATAACGGCGTAATATCTAGTGTTGTGAGTACAAAAGCAGGGCCAAATTAGTAATTCTACTTTGTCTGTCGCTATAGGTTTTACAGTTCCCGGTTTGAACCATTCGGCGAGTTTTGATCGAGGATCAGCTAACATGTCCGTGCGTCGAACCTAAAATTGGAGTCATTAGAAAAAAGCAATGCTACTGAAAAACATGCGCAAGATTAAGGAAACACACGTGTTATCGGAAGTACTCAATGTGAGCGCTCAACGCTTGGTTGGTTAACTAACTGAAGCATAACTAAGCTTCTCAAGGTGTATTTCTCAATGCTAAGCTGATTCATTAATCGAATGAGATGTCACTTGTTTTATTATAATCCATTGGTTAGTAGAAAATCTGAAAGCGGTAATACTTAGCGAATACTTAAATAGTCTGTCTTCACAGAGAATCGTGAAGGCCCCAAAGTAATTTCCACTTGATTGGATGCTTGCTGTTTGGCAGTATTTAGCTTTTTAAAGAATGGAAATTAAACAAGGGCTTTATCAAGCCGTCATTACTTGTCAGCTAGTGTTTCGCTACTAGGATGACAATGAATCCCAGCGCTGGTTTCGACTCAGCTGCGCTTCCATATAGACCCTCTCAGAGGATAAAACTTCCGTAATTTGAAACCCAGAAATATCTTCTGGCTACCATGAACGGTAGATTTCCAAGAATATAGATGGAATAATCAGTGCAATTTTTAGCTATTAGCCTGAAAACCTCTCTTATTTGATTGGATTATAAATGTATTCTAATTGAAAGCTCTTTGGGCATTTACAGTTTACATGTAAAACAAAGTTTTACGCAGATGGGTCAGAGCAGGCTGGTAAGAGGGCTAAAAGAAGATTTTGCAGCAGGATTTGCAAAGACAACACACTGTTTGAAGTACAGAAATCGGAGTACAGATGGAGAACAAACCGTGTATTTCTTGCCACCGACATTGATGTTGATTATGTCATCAGCATGACGAGAGCGCGACATAATGTGGAAATTCTGGAATTGGAGAATTCAGTACAACATAATTACTGGAAAGCGATGCCAGCTGTTATGGCTTTGAAACGACCAAAACACGTACCGATGCCTGCGTCGGCGCACTACGACAGTTATTTTTCTTATTTCAGATGTGGATTAAGTAACATTTTTAACTTTCCATGGCGATTTCTCAGTAATATATTGACAAATTTTCGATATATTTCAAAGCCAGTTAAAAATTTCTGACTTAATGAAAGCAACACTGATTGTAGGTTGAGTAATCAATAAGTATTATGTGAATGGAATGAATTAAATTGCGCTGTAACTAAACGTTGACTTATCAAAAATTCTATATGAGTAACTTGTTTCGCTATTCAGTTATCCCAGAAACTGCCGAAAATGTGTCTCTGGATAAGACGTTTTGTTCATGTCTAAATCAACGCCTAAGAAAAAGCCATCAAGATGCATGTGCATTTAAAAGGTGAAGATTTTGTGAACTCTTTTCATTAATATGCATTAAAGCCGTTGTTATCACTTTTACAATAATGAAAGTGGTAAAAAAGATCAATACATATTGGAAATGTTAACAGAAAGGTGTTACGATAGATGAGATGATTTGAATGTTAACAAAAATTCAAATTTTGCAAGGACTTCGTATTTTCCTAAAAAAATCTTTTTAGTGTTTGAACATCAAGTTTGTAATCTTTTCGCAACTACTATCACTTCTTCAGAAGGAATTCACTATAGTTATCGAATTAAATCTACAAGCCTAAAAACGTTTGGCATTGAAATTACCACTGATTATTCTAAAGAAACGAAGCACTATTTATGAAAAACTATGACTTAAGGAGTGTCAGTTCAAACCTGAGACAACTATGTGGAATACATCATGGGAATGACTAATCAGCAATTTAGAAAATTTACGAGACCGCTTTCCGTGTATGGACTTCTATCTAAGCATAAATAAAGTTGTTACTATTTCTAAAATGCACCAGTCCAAAATGTCGAGTTTAACCCAAACATAAAAACTTATTCTTGTGGTTGATGACCAGCGGTTGAATGCAACGGTCTTTGTTCCAGGAGAGATGAATAACAAGAATAAGCAGCCACTTGCAGTTGAAGTGATGCCGGATGTAATGCGGAAGGTATGTCTGAGAGCGACACACATACGCTTAAACCAATGTTCCATCGTCACCAAATTGCTAGCTATTATGTGCTGGACGGAGTTATGCCATAACTACTCGAGGTGGTACACTTCTGGTCTGGTAAATTGCAAATTGGTTACTACCCTTCGGAAACCACTGCCATGGAACCACGAGTGTGCGAAGTTTTTCATTATTTCCATTATGTTAATGATACATAAATCAGTGTGCTTACCATTATCGTCGCGCTCAGGAATTTGGAGAGGATGACAAACGGTGGACGGCAAATGACACGAGTTTGCCGCCTTAGTGCTCCCTCAATCGGTAAAACGATTAGGGGCGCCACCGAGCAACACCTTAGACTTGACTGAAGTAATTTCAGTGTGAAAAATACACAAGCAGCATTGATCTTCACTAAAAGTTTTCCTACGCATTGAAACATTCGTCGATGTAAGAACTGAGGGCTTTCTAGGAGTTCCCTGTATTATCCTATGAGTATCGGTTATCCAAAATTTTTACTCACCTAACAAAAATTATTCTACACGATCCAAGAATTGCGAAGAACAACAATATACTTCGATTGGGAATGGGTTTCGTAACTTCGAATTTTCAATTATTGCCACAATGAGCTCCTTTAGTTCTCGCTCTTACGATTATCTCGACAATGGTCCATCAGTGATGGCATGGTCAAATGTTGAGTTGATACCATGAATACTATGCTCACTTGATAGGTTTTGAAACTTCCATTTCCTCTTGTTAAAACACTGCAAAGTGACTGAGCACCTTATCGACGTGTGTTCTCTTTTTTTAAACTTAGATTTCCAAATTTTAGTCTGCTTCGTTTCTTGCCTACCAGCATTTTCTGCACCCTTGTTTATCCGGCAGTACACCTAACTTTGATCATCGAAACAGACTGTTTTTCACGCACCATTCTATCACTACCCTAAAATAATACAGTTCTAGCCGAGCTTCTTGATAACAGGCCCATACCATCACACATGTGCATCATCATTTCCATTTTCAACCATACCCATTGACTAACGTCTCACTTCATGAAAAAAGATATCGTGGCGGGAAAACATACTGTGTTGTGAATTTGCTGCGTATGTGATGCAAGTTTTGTACTATCCATTGAATATAAACGCCCTCAGTTCCTAATGTTTCCACCACAGCTTCGTTCTCAAAAGAATCGAAGGGATTCTTTAAGTTCCAAAGGTATAAAAAATATTCCAAAATTACCTTTAAAGTTTGAAATAGGAAATGTCACCATTATTTCCCCTTCAATTCACCGCTAAAATATGTGACGGCGATCATGTCTATGAACCATCTTGGTTAGTATGGGTGGATTAAGTTATCAAAATGCATTATCGGATTTCAAGCTCACGCAATGTTATTACTGGTGAGCCTCAAGTTTGTTATTTCATTAGGAATATATGGCATTTGTTATAGCCTTCAAAAAAAGTTATCCTTCAAAAATATTGTTGAAATGTGTTATGACTAGTCAACTAATTCAAAAGACGCCCTTCATTCTTAATTGATTTAAGACCTTGAGCATTCAGCTGCACTCACATTTCGTTAACTCACTTCAGAACTTTTTTATATCGATATTTAACCTTGAAAAACTATCCAATTTCATTTTCATAATACCGAAAGATAGCTGAGAGATAGGCGAAACGCAGACCCGTATGGTATGGTGGTAAACGCGTTACTCGCATTTGGGTTAGATAAATATATAGATAAAAGCTTTTTGGGTTCCCAATAAGCCATTATGATAATTTTCTTTGCATAACCTATTGATCGAATGCTTTTTAGTACGCACTGAGTAGTGATAACTTGATAACTTCTTGTAGAATCCTGCGCAACATCTCTATTTCTTCTTCTTTCGAAGGATTACTTCCCTGGAAATGATTTCACGATAGGAGATAAACACTACTAACTTAAACATAGCTCAAATATACTAGTATGTTAAAGTCGTTTAACAGGAGTGCCTGCGGGCAATTGCAGTAGATCTTTCACGTATTTATCAAAGACAGGTTGATTAGTGAAAACGAAGTTCTTTACAACTTAACTATGGGCAAGGATGAGTGTTGACATCGGACATGTGTTTACCATTCTCTGGTCTTCTTCACGTAAATAATGTGACGTTGTCTCATCACGCATGCCTGAGAGCAGTTTTTTCGATTTCTAGCCACTCACCGTAGCCATCGCCATCTATAACAGCGTCGTCGTTATAAAATCTACTAGACTCAGATTATTCATTCGTAGGAATCGTAGAAAACCCAGTAATGTTCTCTTCATCTTCAGCTTCCGCGTAACTACTCTTGTGGATGCGGGGTGAGACGATGCTCTAATTTTATGTTGACTTACTAAACCTTGTCTGGTCCTGGTGGCAGATGCAATCGAGGTACAATGAATAATGTTGATTTTTTGATAGCTAGAAATTTTGAGCAAGTGAGCACATAGAGAAGTGGTAGATTAAGCCTTTCTTTTAACAAATGAACACTAACTGTTAACATTTACTGTATGTTATTAGGTTAATCAAAAATTAGTTTTCGACCCACAATATTATTTCTCTTGTATTTCTTTTAAGAGAGCGTGTGGCGCAGTCGTAGGAAGCGCTACTGCGACACACATGGGACCGATCCCCGCGCCCATGGCCCACCAAGCCTTCCATCACTCCGGGGTTGACAAATTGGTACCAGACTTGTCTGGGAGTATAGCAGCACTGGCTGGTTACATCGGTAGGCCACCGGGAGTTATTTTAAAGGCCAGATACGCATTCAATCACCTCCAACGATACTTTATGAAGTCGATTGCATGGCACATGCTTCAGGGATTGATCAGCACCGAGAGCTTTTTAGCTTCTGTTTCTTTTATCTCTAAGGGTACGTGTGGCGCAGTGGTCAAAGGCGTCCTGACACACACACATATGGAACCGATCCCCGAGCCCATGGCCCACCAAGCCTTCCATCACTCCGGGGTTGACAAATTGGTACCAGACTTGTCTGGGAGTATAGCAGCACTGGCTGGATACATCGGTAGACCACCGGGAGTCATTTTAAAGGTCAGATTTGCATTAAATCAACTCCAAACGATGTTTGGTGAAGTCGAATGCATGGCACATCCCGCAGCGATTAATCAACGCCGAAAACCTTAAAGCTTTTAAAAATAAAAGCGTAGAGCGAGCTTCTATTTTTAACAACGGGGCAGGGGCAGCACAGTGGTTAGTGATGTCGTCGATCAGGGAGCAAAGGCTCTGTAGTCTCCTCTCCAACGCACTCCTCCAGTCTACGTGGGAACGACTGAGGCCAGGTTATCTCTAAGATTGCAAGGAAAATTGACTAGACCAGCTTTCTACGACATACATTAAAAAAAGAAGGTCAAATTCCTTAAGAAGCAGCCGAAACAGCACGTGAAGTATTCGAAGACCATTGTGAACTATGAAAGCGAGGAAAACGTTTCGAATGCAAGTGTTAGGATCCGCACAGTAGATATCACGACGGATCATGTGAAATGAAAGATGTTCCTACAATAGCATTTTTTAGAAGGCTGCACTACTATAGGTATCTGAAAAGCATATTTTACCCGTATACGTTATTGCATTACTTTTTTCAAATGTTCACAAAAGTGTTACTGGTGAACCACAGTAGCATATCGCAACGATGAGCGCTTTTGTTTCATTTAATTGAATTTTAAAAAAAATGCGTTTTTGGCAAATCGTAAAGCTTAGAACTCCAGATGTCATACAGTTGTTCTTACAAGCCTAATGCCATAATTTCTAACCCGGTCATAGTGCAGCGCAAGTGGCTCGAAACAAAACATTCAAGGGTTATTTGGCTGAAGAAGTGTTAATAATAGTAGAGTGCGACATTGGTTTCGAAAATTTTATCATAGTGGAGCTGGTCTTGAAGGCAAAGAATGTGATAAACGTTACTCTGCTGTTGGCGATGATGATTTTAAGCACTTCATATAAGCAAATATAGGAGCTGAACTGTGTGAGAATTTGTATAACTTTCTGTGAGCATCCCAACTCTTCCGAGGAATCAAAAAAATTAGAAAGCCGAAAAAGCTGGACAAATGAATTTTCCACGAACTAAATACCAATACAAGAAATCGTCGCTTCGACGTATCACCGGCGCTTCTTCTGCCCAGGCAGAACGATTTGTCTCGCCATTGCATTGTAACCTGCGACGAGAGAGAATCTTGAACCAGAAACGCTGTGAAAGGCTACCTCATCCACTTTATCCATCTGACCACTCGCGTACCATGTACCGCTCGTTCAAGCGTTACGATAACGTCCTCTGTAGCAAATGGTCCAAAAACCAAGTCGAGGCCGATAGAGCAGCTTTTAGAGGTTTTCTATTCTCCAGAATTCAAGAGTTTTGTGCAAACGCAATGAATGTATTTATTGTTGGTAAAAATGTGTAGGTCCTACTCGTTTTTATTTTGATCAAAAAAGTGTATTCTGAGTTGTGATGTATTTCTTTGGAAACACTGACTGAAATCGACCATATTTCTGGTAAGCCTAATATCCGTCGTTCAACCACATTTCTATCTACATCCAGAAGTTTTTCAATCTATGTTGAGTCTTTTTGAGCTAATGGGAGGTTGACATAAGTTTTCATTGTAGTTGTTGTTACTGTTGTTGGTCGATGGCCGATGTTTCGGAGATTTCGCTTTCCTTAGAGCAGTGCTCTTACAAGTGGCACTCCCACAACAACAGCAACAACAACGACAACGAAAACTTATGCCAACCTCCCATCAGTTCAACAAGATCAGTTCATAAGATCACATAAATAAATATATCAACTATTCATGCTGAGGCTCATAGAAACTAGGTCATTTAAATGATATTCAGCCTTTTTTAACTTATTATTTACTGCCTACTCTTTTTAACGGCAGGGTATATATTGCGAAATATAACCTCAATGATGCTGAGATATTTTCAAAACCCCGGGGTGCAGGTGTCTGCCGTGTGGAACGGACGCGCTATTGTCCTTTCCGGGGAGTAACGCGTTCACCACCACACCATGAGGGTCCTTCGTTCCGCCTATCTTTCAGCTAGTTCTATCGATCTTTTGCCATCAGCGATGTTCAGCCTATGTCGATATTTCTATATCCACCATTTCATACTATAACCACAATTCATTATAGCAGTTGGGATGAAATAGCAGCCGTTATCGTAGCGAAGTGGAACTAATTATCGAATTCGCCTGTAAAACACAATTAACTTGACAGTGAAACTCGTCCGAGAAGTGGTTATTTCTCAATAGTTAAGCCCAGAAAATAGCTTTTTTTGGAGCTACACTAAGTGTGATTTCTGCGTTCTATAAGCTTCAAATAATGTGAGAAGTTTTGTTAACCACAATGATGCTGAAATAATTGCAAAGCTCCAGACCGCAGGTGTCTACGGTGGGGAACGAATTGTGGTTGTTTCGCAAATAATACCCTGCCGTGAAATCTAGTAAAAGGCAGTAAATAAAAAGTCAATATTCCCCTGCAGTTCTTCAAATGAACTCTAAGGCGATAAACAATATAATTCGACTAACATTAAACAAATAGTGTTTGCCGATATTGATAGAAGACATTTTATTTGAAATGTAACTAAGTAAATTTCATCCCCATTCAATAATAGTCCATCTGACCACTAAACTGCTTTCCAAACATATCATACTAAATTGTTGAGGCTTTCGTGGGGAAGGACAACCCGAAAGCCAAACATTGGTTGGCGACACTCACAGCTTAGTTTTCTCTGGAGCGTGTGAAATAAGGGTTTTTGGGATCATATATTTCATATATTTGGGATTTCAAATGTTCTAGATTTTACGTTCCATTTAAGCGTGCTAGATGACACTTTGTATAACCGATGTCAAAGATCAGTGTTCTTCCTTAGTACTCCGCAAGCAATCTCCTATAATCGCATACTTCTCACCAAACACCTTATTATTGCACTGTTTTGAAAACATGTCTTGTCACAAAATGGCACAGCGCTATGAAAACTTAAGCAGTTGCTTGGCTCATCAGATGGTATGAAATATTGTTTGTCACGAAATAGCACAGTGAAAATATAAGTGTCTTTATTTCAATTTTGCACAACCACTTACTGGTCAGAGAACAAAACTGTAGTGATGGCCATTTCATTATTCCTCTCAGTTCCCTCGCTACCATTTCCACACAAACGGTTCACCTATCTTTTTTGGCATGCCTTCCACGAAATCTTCATTCGCGCTGAATTTTAGTTCCAAATTTTTTCCGCAAAGTTTGTAGAATAAGCAGAATTAAGAGTACAAAACATTGCGATTATGCAGTGAGTTCTTACAGATTATGTGCATCCGTACTCGACTACCGTGAACAACGATAAATCCCTGTAGATTTGGTTCATTTCCATTTAAATGAATTTTGCTTTGTGGACGTGTGAATGATAAAGTCCAGAAGCCCCTCGGTGAATCACCAACGGGGCCAGCATTTCCGATCAACAGTTCATAGTCTTCGCGGAAATGTCGCGCGCACGAGCGCACGTTCTGTGCAAATCGTAAAGGTCGTCGGTCCACCCACACACAGTCTGTAAGTGGCCATAGCTGTACATAAGACGTGGGAACCCCGATAACGCCTGCCATTTTTTCATCTATTCTTCGCTGTTCTCACGTTAGCGCCGTACTCCACTCATATTGCTCATGACATTAGCGACCAAGATATTACTTCATAATTCGTTCACTTTGTGGTTCCTAATAGTTTGCAGCTATTCTTAAGCGTAAGACTCCTTTAAAATTCTTTTGTAGTCCATTCGGAACAAGGTTGATTTTGCTCAATTACAATCTGTTTCCGCATTTCTTCTGCGGCGACTAACGTCCAAACCTCACTAGCCTAGAGCTCACTGCTCCAGGATTACTCTTATGTTTTCCCTCATCTTCTGTGAGAGTTTTACTGCCCAAAACGTTTTTATAACTGACGGGCTGTAAATTCTATATTATGAGTCACATGAATTTAACTACTGAACTCTTTCTCTGAAATAATCTTTGCCGTTTGTATGATAGTGTTGCTCGCCAAACGGCCAACTTACTGGGCTTTCCGGTAAACAGTATTCAGTCGTTTACGTGTCAGACATTTACATCTATTATACGCTCTGATCATGCATAAATAAAACAGCATCTGAATTCACGTCATGATCCGATGGTGATTTTCACGATTGTATTTTCTTTTCTGGTTTACGTTTTCTATGGAAGTTTTATGTTGTTTCACAGTTTTGCTAAGTTGGCCCATTAACAATCAGCATCGATTTCCCAATCACATTTCATCTACTGTTCAAATAAAAATGCCCGATTTCACTGCTATGTTCGTCGATATCGAATCCTCGTCCAGTCTGACAAATACGATGGCGTCCGTCAGAGAGATAACGATTGTCTGCATTCTATTTGCTATCGTCATCGTCTTTCAGGTTTGCAATTTAATATGCCCATAAAGATCCTTATTTTTGACGATTAATGCCACAACGATCACTGCTGAACACATTTCTGCAGTCTGATGATTAATCTTTTTTTTTCGATTTTCACTACTATCGCTTTCCTACAAATGGATTAAAACACTTTTATTTTCCTATTATGTCATCATTTCTTGTCTTTTTTCTCATTAGTTTTCACTTTTGAAAACATTTTTACTTTTGAGAAGTCATTGCACTGATATCTATGAACATCTGCGCTTCGATTTCTTTCCAATTAATCCTCAATGTTCACACAGATGAGCGTTCGAATTTTTCTCCGGTCATTTCACGGACGACCGATAACATTTCGCATATTGATCTCGAAGGATTTTGTTTGCCTTGCTATATCTTTAAGGAAAAAAGTATTACTCGAAAAGAATGATTAGCCGCATTTTTGAAAATTTTTTTCCCTATCTGCTTTTTAATTCCACACCCCTCATTTTCATCCTCTACTTCAATCGGATGTTCCACTAAAGTCGTTTGACGTTGTGTCAGCCGACGCCTTGTTGGATATCACTGCTGTGAAATCTCCGTATGAGAATACTATGAAATTCGTAGTAACGTTGGTTGAGATGAAAAGTATAAAGCAGCACATAAAGTGAAGAACTATTCTTAAAGTACAGGTATTCGTGTTCTTGCTAAAATCGAAATAGTGAAGATATGGTATTGACTTTAAAAGAATTATTCTTTCAGTTATACGTCTACTTGAAATTGGATAATTCTGAAGTGGACGCCGACGAACTTGACAAAGAACGTCAAGAAGAAGAACGAAGAAGACGTAACGACCTGTTACTGAAGGCACTGAGTGCTTTCTAGCTGCCTTCAAGTGGACCCTCTGCTGGTACGATCTCGCGATACTGGTTTCCTTGTACTTAGAGTGTAAACCGTTTGGCAACGCTTTTCTTTACCGAACTGTCTTATAAATAACTTCGGCATACATTTCTTATATCTTAAGCAACCCTATTTTCATAGGATGAGATGAATGTTGTTACTGGTAACGTACAACCTTTTCTTTCTCCCAAGCGCTTGTTCATTCATACCAAATCCGAGTTCCTCAATCAAAACGTACTTGAGGAAGTGAGTTTTGAATATTCTCCTCCCATTAATCTCGGAATTTTGATATCATTCAATAGAAAATTTCCTAAAGATTGATGGCTTCAAATTCTCAGTAATTGTGGTGTTCCATTTCCATGCGCACAACCCGCTTTATGGAAAAGTTAAGACATATTTCACATTCTACTGAGGGCCGTCATATTTCCTCTTTATGATGTCTTATCTTTTTGTTATTATGTTGAAGTTGTTCTAGGTGTTCCATAAACAAGAAGGTGCATCCCTTCTCTTACTCAGCAGGTTTGGACAAACACGTTCACAATTGTTTCATTGTTGCCGCTCATGTCTCTCTGAAAGCTTGTAGAACGAGCATGCAGAAGAATCAATGTTGCCAACTTTTATATGCCTTCCTTTTTTAGTAATGCCAGCTCATTGTTCTGCAGCCTCATAGTGACTAAGGGTGCTATTGGATGCTGTGCTAATGTACGGCTGGGATTTCGCACATGGTTACCGTCCATTTGTATGTGTGACCAGTAGCAATTCTCATATGAGTGGAAATTTTCAAAAGAGTAGCGAACATTTGTTCATATGAAAAATGAGGCATCAGTCTTAGACGGAACGCTTTGATCATTTTTAATTTTTCTTCGAGTCTCCACTATTTTCAAATTAACCTGATGGCTCCGTTATTTTGTTTGTTAGTCTGTGATGCTTACATGTTCAAGGGTTGTTTGCTAAAAGTTTTATAATTTTAATTTTAAGAGAGTTACTATTACTATCGATCTTGCATGCAGCTAGAGGTATCCACAAAGATTTTTTGAAGCCCAAAAATACTTACTCTGGCCACCTTTCAGTTAACTCGGGCTATGACCAATAAAATGCGAGTGTGGTCGGAGGCGCCCTGTAACACATACGTGGAATCGATCCCCGCGCCCATGGCCCACCAAGCTTTCTATCCCTCCGCGGTCGGCAAATTGGTACCAGACCAGTCTGGGAGGATAGCAGCACTGGTTCGATACATTGGGGGGCCACCGCGAGTCATTGTAAAGGCCAGATATGCATTCAATGACCTCCAAACGATGCTTAATGAAGTCGAATTCATTGAGTATCCCTCAGGGATTGGTCAACGCTGAGAGCTTTATCCTTTATCCTTTTATGACCTATAAATTGAAAAGTGTAGGAGGAATGAGGAAAAAGAATGCTGCTGAGATAAAGTTTTACTTTTTATTTTCCGCCTTCTATAATTTTTATGGCAAGGTATTAAGCGAAATACAACCACAAGATTGCTGAGATGTTTGCAAAACTCCGGACCGCAGGTGTCCGCTGTGGGGAACGAACGTGCTATTGTCCTTTCCGTGGAGTAACGCGTTCACCACCACACCATGCGGGTCCTTCGTTCCGCTTGTCTATCAGCTAGTTCTGTCAATCAATGCCGTCAGCAATCACCCGTCAACGGGATTGATCTGGGGAGATTGATCGCTTAATACCCTCCCCTAAAAATTATAGAAGGCAGAAAATAAAAAGTAAAACATTGCGAATTCAACTAACAACAGCCTCAGCTTAACTAGGTTCAATTCCGATGTTGGCTTCCCACAGATCAATCCCGTTGACGGGTAATTACTGAAGGCACTGATCGATAGAAAAGTAGACTGACAGACAGGTGAATCGAGGGACCCGCATGGCGCAGTGGTGCACGCGTTAGCCTCGCAATTGAGCGTTCGCTCCCTAACGCAGACACCTGCGGTTTCAAAACTTGCAGATAGCTCAGGATAATTATTGTTTTTCGTTTTTGTGAAATCTTCCATTTTTTGCATTGCAGAATTCGACGCTTTTGAGCTTTTAGAGAGGTTAATCCGCTAAATCATTGAGGTTGTGTGCATAGAAGTAATTTTCGCATGGTTCGCAAGGTGTGCTCTAAAAGTCACCGCATTTGCTCATTAGATTTAAAAGTCGTCAGGCAATCACAAAGTTTACGCCTATCGTTACGGTTCCATACAGTTTTTGCTAAGAACCTTTCTCATTCCTCACAATCGGTCACCTGTGTTTTCAATTCATCTATTTTTACTTGCACTTCATGTAGCATTTCACCAAGATCGACTTTCTATTAACCTCGGCACTGATTGATAATTCACTGTATTTCTTCAATAAGCAAGCACGAGGTTGATAATACAGAATTTATTAGCATACAAACGTTTCGGTGGTTTCGCCTTTTTCATAACCGTTTATTCGTTGCAATTATTCCAATTAGTTGGTGGAGAGCAGCAGCACAGAGTAGTAGTACATGGGCTAGGACTGTGCCTGTGTGACTGTGCGACTGCTCTTCACCAACTAATTGGAATACTTGCAACGAATAAACGGCTCTGAAGTAGGCAAAACCGCCGAAACGTCAACTATTGTACCCTGATAAATTCTACAATACCAACCTTGTGTCTGCCTATTTTAAAAAAGCCGCAAATCATCTATTTTTAGTTCTGAAATTTTTACAATCCACTAACTTAATCTTCTCACATGTTCAACCTACATCCATACCATTTATTAACACAATGTCTGCTTTCACACTTCACCTGGCAAGCATATCAACAAAGTCTACATTGAAATTTCATTTCTCACGTATTCGACGCTTATACAGAACGTTTTTCTAATATCCGACAATTCATACCATTTATGACTACGATTGTGATAATCTTAACGAACGGTTTTCTAAATCCAGCTGCACTTAGTGCAAGTCCGCTTTGAATTCTCTTTATGATAATTTGTCCGTTTCCTTGGCGCTAGAATGGTTTAAGCCAGAAGTTGAGTAGATAATGGCATAGATGCATTACCAACTTGAGCAATTTTGCAAAAAACCTGTATCTTTATGACGTCTATTAAAATTCTTCCCACGTAATAGATCCTCTATCCATCCTCCAGACACGGAGTGATAAGGTGAAAAAATAGCTGTGTATTGCCGAAGCTCAATTCTTGACCAACAACTTGCTGCTAATTTCCTAACTCATCAAGCCTTCTATTTATCGAAAAACTATTGCTTGTTGTCGAGAAAACGGAGCGTTGCCCACTTCGGCCTGATAAAACATATTTGAAATTTTTCGAATTTTACTGTAAAAATAAAAAGGATAAAGCTCTCGGCGTTGATCAATCCCTGAGGGATGTGCTGTGCATTCGACTTCATTAAGTATCGTTGGAGGTGATTGAATGCATTTATGGCCTTTGCAGTGGCTCGCGGTGGCCCACCAATGTATCGAACCATTGCTGCTATCCTCCCAGATTAGTCTGCTGCCAATTTGCCGTTCCCGGAGAGATGGAAGGCTTGGTTGGGGATGGGCGCCAGGATCGATTCCACGTGTGTGTCGCAGTGGCGCCTCCAACCACTGCTCAACACGCTCCAATCTTATTGTACCAGAAGAAATGTCGATGTTTCGATAAGCTTCCTTGTTCGCCAAATATCACGCTCTTTCAAATAACATATACGAAGTCATTTCGACGGACTGTTTATACTAAAATACAGTGAAAAATTGGCTGACAGCGTTCATCGATTTATCGTTCCGCTATTTTATGGTTTCCATAGAGAAAAGAAGGAAGGAAACAGGTATAATATTAAGTGGGAGGTCACCACGTGTTAAAGTCTAAATCGTGTTATACTAAGAATTTGAAATTGGTTCATTTTATTGATGAATGATCTTGAAATATTTTAAGTAAATAGCGGAGTAGGTTGTATTTTTAATGTCCGCTAATCCGCTGTGGATTTACACGCCTCCGTACTCTTATTTACCCATTTTTTGTCTTGCGAATACGTACAAAATACTGCTGCTGATACAGTGGGTTTCTGATGCCAGTGGGATAGGTAGTGCTAGAGAGCACTCAGGCTTTCAGTGCAAGCAGTTGCTGCTTTTTTCAGTCAGAGGGTTTTCTGTCAGGCTTACGAATTATGCTTTCCGGATACATGGCTATTCTCTTCCTCACATGTAATAGACTTTATGGGTTAATACTGCAGTAATTTTTCTATGTCATTTTATATTGTTCACGTGCTATCGTCATCTAATGTATTGAGAAATTTTTTCCCTATAAAGTGCTTAATAGCAGCTACATTATGTTCTTTCTTCGCAAACGGCGAGAAAACACTCTGTGTTATCTTGTGTATTAAAATCTATACGCTTTTTAAAGCGCTGGCTAAATGATAGCCACTCTCACTTCAATAAGGTTTTACAGTGTTAGTGGCACAGTCCATCTGAAAGCAGGACCCCTGCCCAGCGCTTTCCTCCCACCCACTTTGGGACGCCTTAGCTCGACTATCTTTAGCACTTTAAGCAGAATGAGTTCGGTCAACATCTAACACTCTCATAAAGGAGACGAGATCTTTAAGTAATAGCTGAATCTCAAAGTACTCGAATATCTTTATGGACGATGAATGAAGGAGAACGAATCAAATTTAAGACAGGCTGCGAATGCACAGTAGATTCGATGGCGGCTCATGTAATGTAGAAACAAAAAGTATCTTTAGAGTATGAGACGATGTACATGAAACAACTATGCCGCCACTCACCATTAGTCAACGGTAGGTTTCTCCTTTACAAAAGATCGTACCAAAACTCTTCTTTGTGGAGCAACTGTTAAAATATTTCTTGCTGTAATTTCTTGCGCTAGTAGGAGCTGGTGGTTCATCCTGTGAATTATAGCGATGTGAAAACATGATTCCTTTGAGTCGTTTGGAAATTGTTACTTTCAAACCATGAATGGTTACAAATATCCAACAACGCCTTTCAGACAACACC